TTTTAAGATGCCATGCATCAGTTAGAACAAATTTATAATAAACATGGTGTTTTAACATATATCTTTATTACGTACTTATTGCAAACAGTTTATTTGAATATGCCTACATATCCACTATTTGTTGGTCTTCTTGGATTATTTATTTATTTGAATACATAAATATTGGTACAAGAGTGCGCCAAACATATATGCGCGACACAAAACAATGAGAATTTAAAGAGAAGGAAAAAGAAAAAAGGTAAGGAGCTTAAAAAGAAAAAAAGAGAACAATAACGAAGAGATTGGTGCAAGGTAGTGTAATAATAATAGTGGTAATAATGGGGGAACGGAAAGGTAAAATCAGAAGAAACCCTTCAGTTAAAGAAGATACAACCATTTTTTTATGAAGAAAGTAAAAGAAGGTTACAGCAGGATCGCCACTGGCTTCTATTCTGAGCCATATCTGATAACGTCTCTAGCCACTGTGTAGCACCATCTCTCGGACCCCAACCAGGGAGTCGTGAAGGACCAACAGAAGCCAGTCCTTTACAGCTTTCTCTCATGCCACGACACCATGTCATATACTGACCACCTCTCCGCTTCTTCCAACCAGTCCCAGAGTCGGCAAATAATGCACGACGTGGAATTCTCTGGGACGACATTCGGAGAACATGTCCAAGCCACCGAAGTCGGTGTTTCAAGATGGTGACACCAATTGAGTTATCATCTCTGTGCCCGAACACACGATGCCGAACCTCTGCATTACTGACATGGTGTTGCCACTGAATGTCAGCAATCCTTCGGAGACAGCGATGATCGAACACAGAGAGTCGTCTAACGTCCTCAACTCGGAGAGGCCAGGTTTCACAAGCATAGAGCAAAACTGCTCTCACCGACGCGTTGTAAATCCGACCTTTTACAGCCAGACTAACATCACGAAGGCACCAAAGGTGACCCAGATTGGCATAAGCCGCTCTGGCTTTCACTATACGTGCATTGATCTCATCACTCACAACCCCACCAGCATTTATGCAGCTACCTAGATACACGAACTTCTCAACTACGTCTATCATGTCATCCGCATACTCCAGGTCGAGAAGTCTTTCTCCAGGCAACAGATCCACACCCCCATTACTTTCATCCATCAGAGCTGTTTCCAGAATGTCATCGATGGCAAAGTTGAGGAGGAATGGTGAGATTGGTCAACCCTGCCTAACCACACTGCTCGAATGGAACAATGGAGAAAGGTGGTTGTATGCCCTCACTCTGTCTGAGGTGTTTGTATATAGGGCTTTTAGGGTGTTAATAAACTTCTCAGGCACACGCTTCTTCAATAGACAATCCCAGAGAAGTCCCATCCAACGAATCGAAGGCAGCCCTGATGTCAAGAAACACTACGATTGTTGGCCGGTGGTAAGTATGGCGGTGTTCTAACATTTGGTGGAGGGCGAAGATATGATCAATACATCCTCGACCAGAATGAAACCTAGCCTAGAAGCTAGCTTGGTTCGATACTTACTTGCAACAGAAGTTGCAACCAGCTTGCTAACATCAGTCCGTTGGTGGCGGTCACTTCGTTGGCCACTGAAAAGTAAGGTAAGATTGGCGCAGACCAAGGCATGGTCAGAGTCCAGATAGGTACTCCAAAAGGAGCGGCAGTCTTGTACACAACCACGCCAGCGGTATCTGATCGCGATATGGTGAATCTGAGTCCAGGCCTGAGATGCAGAGGGAGGACGCCAGGTGGCACATCGGCGATGACTGTGCCGAAAGTTAGTACTGGCCAGAAACAGGTTGTGTTCTGTGCAAAGTTGCAGTAGACGGTCCCCGTTATCTGACCTGCGACCAACGAGTCCCCATCGGCCACCTAAACGACTCTCTTCTGTGCCTAGACGCCCGACCTGAGCATTCAAGTCTCCGGCTAGTACTACAATATCTGTCGAACGCACTTTCTGGAGAAGAACTGATAACTGGTGGTAAAACTCATCCTTGATTGCATCCGGGCTGCAATCTGTCGGGGCATAGGCGGAGATGACGAAAAGACATCGTTTCTCACGCCGATTTCTTCTCACTTTGATGGAACTTTCTAATCTAACAGCACATAACCGACTGTTAATGGGGATCCAATCGATTAGTGCTGCCTGAGCTCTAGCGCTTAGTGCGACACCAACGCCAGCAAGATCAGACGAAGATGCCACAGGGTCCCCGGATAAACGCACGTAAGACAAGCTTTTCGAAGCGACAGATGAAGAGCGAATTTGTAGTACTTCACCAGAGTCTTGAATACGGGTCTCGGATAGACAGCAAACATCAATATTAAGACTTTCCTAAGGCATAGCTAGCCCTATCTGTTGTCCAACCTGCATAAGTGTGCAAACATTGAAGGCAGCCAGTTTGAATGGTGCATGTGGTTTCAGAAAAACTGCTTCAGTACTCATATTCGGTGGCAACATACAATTTTCAACCGGACAGTGACTCGAGAACGTTTAGATACAGTCGAATTTCCACCACAGACGAGCTGTTGTATAAATAGAAAAAAAATAAGTATAGACAATTCATCATTTGTGTGTGGGCTGTGATACTACCCGGGTGCCCACACCGAAGCAGGTGGTTACCTCGGGGGGCCACACCCCAAGCCTTCGACCTAAAGGTCTGACCCACAAAACAGTGGAGCATCGTAAGGAGATGAAGTCCCGTGGTAGCCGGTGACCGAAAATCGGTTCATGTGCCATTTCTTCATTCAGGATACTGGAGCCCATGTGCACCATTGGTTTGGGATCCGGTTAAAGCGCCGGACATTTGCTTTTCGTCTTCTCATTTTCGTAAACAACCCCGCCACGAGAAGGCAGTCAGTAGGACTTCCCTGGCAGAGGCTGTATACGCGTGGCCGTGTGGGAGTATTTCGAGATGATAAACGACATATCGGGATGTTTCTCCGTTTAATCTAATTTAACCAGGAAATGATAATTTTATGGTACAAGATTATACTACCCTTCCTAATGAATAAATTTATTACTGTTTAGTTCAAAAACCTTAAAAATACTTAACTAACCAAGTCAACGACCTTCTCTTTAATGAGAAATTACACCTAAGGACAGAAACTAATTGGCTATTCAATATAGAAATAAATAACACAACTAACCAGGTTACATAGGATTTAAATCTATGCTTTTCTTGTGAAAATGAAATTATTTCCATAGCAAAGGAATAAAGTGTTAAATAAGTATAACTGTATCATATATGTATGGCAAGAAAAGATTTCTTCTGATTAGTTAGGGTAAAAGGCAATTTACACTTACAGTTAAAAATAATGAATATCATTTATGACTACTTGTCAGTAGTGTAAATTCAACTTTTCTAAACGGAATGAAACTACTGCGATATGAACTTTATACTGAACTCTTAAAATTAAACTAGACAGACGAAATGTTCATTAGGTCTTCATAAAACCACTAAAATTTTACTACAAATAGTCCTTGGAATTGTCTTATCCAGTAAGTTTGCAGATGGGATAAGTAAAAAGTATATGAAAAGTATTAGAACATTATAACAACATCAAACAAGCCCCACAGACTACACAAACATGTACAGTAACGCCTTAAATACCGACTTCAGAAAAGGAATCATTTGTAACCACGGTTCTTATAAAATAAAACATTTTCACTTGTTAAATATTTTACACCATTTGAAACACTTATTTTTAGACTATACAAGAACCTCAGTTGCTCTAAACTGAAACTACTGGTTAAAAGTGGAGTGCTTTATCTCTAGACGTCCATTACTAGTTTCCAATAGGAAGCATGTAAATGAATTTCTTTGAACTTGATAATGTAATTGATTAGAATAATACTGACTGATTTAACTGTTTAAAGCTAATAGACTGTGTCATGGCCATTTAGTGCTTATAATGTAACTTGTGTATAAAAAATTGTTTTTCTTTACGCCTAATGAACAGTGACCGTATGCAATGAAACAACGGAATTCTACAGTGGTCTACAGAGACATAATGCGAGTTTGTAGACTTCTATGTACTAGCAATTACTCCAGAAAATGTACTGTTTGTATTCATCATTTATTCAATTTTGGAAGGTTACATACCGTCCGAAATACACATTTATTACCTCATTTTCAACATAAAACAACACGTAAGAAAATTTAACTTTATATCGTAATTTTATCATTGGGAACAGGAATTTATTCTAATTAAAAACTGAGAAGAACAAAATTCTTGACAAAAAACATGCCGTTTTAATTGTTCACCGTCCATCATTTGCCATGAACTATCGTTTGCTTCTCAAGAAGAAACTATTACGGACAGTAACTTATTAGCATTCATACACTAATTAAACATAAACCCAATATTTGATAAACTGGTAAATCACAAGATGAAAGGTCACAAAGATAATATTGAATTGTTTGATGTAAAACCAAATATAGTCAATTAAAAAATGTTTAGGAATGAAAAATATATATATATAACTCTACAGAACTATGCGTAGATGATCACAGACTGAAAGCGAAACTAACAAATGAAAAGAATCAAAAGTAATTTTCAAAACAAAACAACACAAATTTGTAGTTCATTGTTTACAGTCTAAAACACTAGTATAGATATGCAAAAATCTATGAGAATATTTTCAAATACCAGAATTATATGTGAAAGGTCAACCAAAAAAAAACATAAATTTTCATCTTTCATTAATGATCTTAGAACTAATTGTGTTAAATAAAAATCGTGATTTCAAAGAAAGATGTTAAAACTAGATGAAAGCAAACAAATTCTAATTCACACAAAATCCTTCTGTATTTTAAATTATGCCTTTAACAACTCAATAGTGAGATAATACTTAACAAAGAAGAAATACAAAAAGGGCAAAAATACAGAGAATATAAAATATGAAATGTGTTAATAAGTCATACAGGAAGAAAAAAAAACAATTATATTTACAATCCCAACTAACAAAATAAAAGAGAAAGATCTCAGTATTCTTTCTTTATAAATGAAGAAATCTGATCATCATTTAAATATCCCATTCACATGCAGGACATTCATTAATTCTGTAACAATATACATTGAATAGAATAGTTGCTACAACAAATAGGAGGAAAATTAGAACACAATTACAAACAAAATATTTTTCCCATTTTTCTACCTTTAAATTGCGCAAAATAACTACACCTAATAAAAGACCTAGAAATGAAAAAAAAATAAGACATATATGTGAGAAATAGGTAATGAAATTTCAACAAAATTAAATCTGAAAACATTTTGACGATATGTTTCCCAATGTAACTATTTGAAAAGGACAATCTTACATTTTCTTGCATATATCGGTTACTTGAAAACGACAATCTGTGTCAACGTTATGTCAAGCACCTTGTAGTATAACGACAATGAGTCGCAAAAATTACAACATGGTCACTTGATTGCAAGTTTTTCTGATTTAAATGCAATGACTAAGTGATTTATTCGTTTCTGCAAACCAACAGGCACCGATTCATGTACTCGACTTTCAGCCGGTCGATCGAAACGAACTAGATGCAGGGTTGCAATCCCGAAGCTCAGTAGCTGAAACACAAACACCTCAACTCCTGAACAACCACCTCACATTACGATTACAAATATACACTGAAACTGGGTACTTTTACACTAGTTTAAAGGGGAAACAAACCTCATCTAATCTCGTTACGATTGGAACCGCACAGCACATTCTCGTGAAACAGTTACACAAGTACCAAGAACCTTAATGGACCACATCGTTTGCACTATTGAATACTGTCAATGCATTGTAATTGTTAGTGGTAATTTAAAAGATAATAAGCACAAAATCTTACAACTCTTGGGATCCACAACTAAAACTTTCAAATATATTGTTCTTTGTTCAAAATCAGAACCAATAACATAAAGGAAACTCACACTCGTCAAATATATTGAACTACACGGTATGATTTACAAATCTAAAACTTTGTTTGATAATCAAGTCCTTTCATCTTATTTATTCAATACAACACACAAGTACATTCAATATGTATCCACTGACCAAGAAAAATTTCAATAAAATTTTTCTGTGAGCACAAAATAAGGTGGACAGATATTTCTTTTAGTATTAAAACAAATCTATAAATACATACAATTACAATACTCTTTTTGTTTTTGACCTTAATAGTAATAAGCTAAATAAATAAATGCGTCTAATGAATATCTAAAGTCATACACATCGAGTTAAATAAGACCGTTGTAAAAATTAGTCCACATAGAAATGATTCAGAAATGTTCTATATTCGTAAGCGAGTATGCTATCCCAAAGCTGAAAGTCAGGTTTCTTTTCAATTCAAAGGTAATACAAACATGAAATGAAGTAAGTGGTAATTGTTAATCTGAGTCACGTTGGAAACAAAACAGCTCAATGAATAATAATAAACAGCTTGTAGTTATTTAAAGACATTATTAATTAGTTACCACCAGTAAATGAATAAATAAGCAGATGTAATAAAAAGCATCACAAATAAAAGGAATAGAAACAAGATTAAATCGCTAACCTGCTATAAAACCACCAAAATGAGCGGAGAAACCAACACGTATTTTTCCATTTGGATTTGAAAATCGATCATATATAGCAAGTGCAGTATCACTACCACCTCAGAAACAATTTTAAAAAAATCAACAGAGAACTTATATTAATGTCGATGAAAATAATATAAATTCAAAAAACGATTACAGCGCTAGTCGGAGTAACAATTTAAAATAGTCTTCACATGACCTTTCAAAAAGTCTGCTTTTTCTGACCAAATACGAGACCTAATTTCAGTACTGACATTTCGCCATTAATTCCAGTTAATTGGATAACAGGTATTATTGCGGAAGTACAGTCTAAGTGAAACTCAATCTCACAAACAATGGTGTTCAACCGACCTACTACTTTTGTTCGAGGCTTATGATAACATAGTGAGATTTATAACCATGAACAAATTTACAGCCTAAAATAAAACACCAATATATAAAATTTGTGGGCTGTAGTATGAAATCTGAACAGTAATACATCATAAACATTTTCATTAGATTATGATCAAGGCTTGTTATATGTGAGACTAGTGATGTCAACCGAATAAACATAAAAGATACGGCACAGTCCAAAACTAAGATCTGTTGATTGAAAGATAGCACAACGAAATGCTGCTAACAATAAATACTGTTGTGACAACTTTATTGAAGAATTAAAATACTGTGTTAGATCCCCAGAACTCACTTAGAAAAGGTCCTAATTTTGTAATTTTATTTCGAAATTTGAATTTTATGTTTTCGCGCCAAGAGACGCTTAGTTGACCTACAGCTTAGATTTTCCACTCGGAAGTCCTTGACTGTCATTTGTTGACGGATTTTTTAGTACACTATTTGTGGCTCTCCCAAGGGCGTTTTCTATGATTGTATAAATAAGCTTGATTTGTGTGCTTAGTGACCTCGTATTTCCTGGGTGCTTGTAGAATACATTCTCTACGCCTCATCAAGACTTCTTGATCTAGTTAGCAGGGCCGGGGACAATGGATTAGAATAGCGTATCGTGTCACTTATCTTTGACCATCGTTCCGTTTACCGAGTAAGGTGAACTCGTAATAGCATTCAAGCATATCATACTGCTCAGAAGAAAAAAAATATTAGAATAACCGACAAAATAAATTATTAGTATGATGTTCTACAGACAGAAATAAAGATTACTTTATACTAATCTTAATTAAACTCCTAAATTAAAAGACATTTACTCCTACTTACTCATACTTGTTGCCCCTCGCGGCTCACCAGCATTCTCCGTCCAGTTCTGTTCTGGACAATACTTTCCAGTCCTTTCTAGTTGCAATTCATCCTTTTCATGTCTGCTTTAAATGTCCGATGCAGTGTTTTTTTTTGTTCTTTCTCTTTTCCGTTTCCCTTTAAGATTCCAAGTAAGCACTTGCCTCATAATGCACAGTTTGATGATTACCGAAAAATATGTTTTATTCACTTCCACCGTCTTTTCTTGATTTCCTTTTCAGCTGGAAGCTGCTTTATTCCCTCCCACAGTAGGCTGTTGCTGATAGGTTCCGGTCAACAGACACTTAGTATTCTGCGTAGACAATTGTTCACAAATACTTGTGCTTTCTTGATGATGGTTGTTTTAGTTCTCCAAGTTTCAGCTCTGTACAATAGAATTGTCTTGACGTTCGTATTGCAGATTATAACTCTGGTGTTGTCTTGCAGACAGTTGTTTTGGGTTCCACGTATTCCTCAAATGTAGGAATGTGACCCTTGACCTGCAAATCCTCGCCCTTTACATCTGCATCCGATCCTCCTTGTTCATCGGTGATGCTTCCACATATTTACTATCTCCTCTGTATTTGTGTTTTTTATTAACCCGTAAGTAAGAGTACTGTATGAATTCTTTTGAAATCAGAAAACGTTTTATAAAGAAACTATATTCGACAGAAAGTACCCGTCTGTCTACATAAGTGAAGATTGACAAAAAAAGAATAGCACACACAAGAATAAATATGTAAATTAGCAAAGGGAAAATAAATAAAAACGGACTATAACTAAACAAATCAATTGTATAGATGAAAACATTATATAAATAGGTCTATGATGTGCAGTAATTTATGTTACCAATAAGTATATGACGAATAAAACCTACCAAGTACAATAATTAGAATTGATCTGACAACACCACTTGATATAAAGTTCAAAGGGTTATTTAACCATCCCTCCTGCATTATATCCCAATTCTGAAGTATTCGGAAAATAAAACAATAATTCAAAGAAAACAGTATGAACTTTAACAAAGTTAAATAGGCACTAATAACCGAAATTCATTTGCAAATGTTGGTCCGATCAGTTTTGTTGATTTAATATCCGACGATAACGTAGCTGGAAAAATGATTTTATTTGATGTTACCTCTCTTTTTTACAAATGTTCCGTCTCACAGAAACAATCTGCCTACTATGTGATCACACTGAAAACAGATAATGTTTGATATTAGTTTTCCAATACACTTCTAACATCCAATCTAAACTTGATAATGGATTCTATGGACAAACTGATGGCGTAGGGATAGGATCGCCAACTGACCGAATTTTAGTTGTGTTACTGCCAATCATGAAAACACTGTACTCACACCTACGACTGACAGTTTTTGTTCATACAAGAAATAGTTGGATCATACTTTCACTATTTGTGACACTATTAATTTCAACAACACCCTAGACAAGTTCAGTTCTTGTCATCAATTAATTGCATTCACAATGAAATCAGAGTCAGGTTCAGAATTTTACTCTTCTGATTCTTTCGTTAAAAGGAGACCTGATGATTCTCTACAAAGATCAACATACAGAAAGTTTGCCCTGAACGGGGAGTACACACCCGACCGTTGTTGCTACCTTGAAGTGGTGGTCGGGCTTCCCTATCGTGATGAAGCAACCAAGCTATACTGGCTGAAACAACTGTTCCTCAAGGTCCTACTATGCCAGAAAAGTCAGTTGAAGAGCGGTAAGACTAAAAGCAACAAATCCAAGGTCTGAAGGCGAAGTTGTATTGCTGACTGTACAGAGGTGTGACAGCAGTAAGGTGTTTCCTTCAGGCAACCAGCATGACAGCGATGCTGCCTTCCCACAAGGAGTGTGGTTAGAAAAGGTCGACCCTAAAAATGCACACCTCACCTTACCTCACGGATTTCCGTCTCCGGCGGTAAGGCCCTTTGAAGAACGGAGCTAACACGTCAAAAACCTCCCACGAAAAGGCCGTGCGCGACCGGCCTCAAGCAGTTGTCCCTTGGATACTGCGGTCACGCTCTCAGGTCACTGAGACCACCTCTAATCCAATTTCCTTTTCAGGTACCTCCAGAAGAACCCTTCCACTGTGTGGGCAACCTTCATACCTCTAACAGCACTCGAGACCACTGTATTCATGATCAACCTTCCTCTTCAATTCCTATTATTCCTCCTACATCGACTTTCAACTCTAAACTTCCTCCTCAAGTGTCACCATAGCCAACGATTCTAGTGCTCAAAACACTGTCCCAGGTCTACTGAAACCTCGCTCCATACTACACATTGGAGCCTTCAACGTACGCACCCTATGTCAAATCGGTCAGCAGGCTTCCTTGGCTAAAACCCTAGAGTCTCTTTCCATTGATGTTTGCTGTGTCTCCGAAACACGCATACAGGATTCCAGTGTGGTCATTCACTTGACCTCACCTCGGCAAGACGGACAGTCGACGAGATACACCCTCCGTGTATCTGGTGACACGATGGCAAGTTCTCGTGGACTGGCAGGTGTAGGCATAGCACTAAGCATGAGGGCCGAACAAGCACTGCTAGAGTGGATCCCCGTCAACAGTCGTCTGTGCTGTTCGGCTAAACGGCTCCGTAAGAACTCGGAAGGATAGGGACACACGTCGTTGCCTTTTCGTCGTTTCTGCCTACGCTCCCACCGACTGCAGCTCAGATGAAATGAAAGATGAGTTTTACAGAAAGCTATCTGAACTTCTTCAGAAAGCTAAACGCTCAGACATAGTCAGTCAGTCAGTCAGTCAGTAACAACGTAGAACTTCGTACGTACGTACATCAGTTCGAGTTGCCACACCACATTAGCACAGAGATGCACTTGTCGATTCAAATCCCGTAGTGGTAGAGGTAATAAGAGTATAAGCAGTAATCGGGAAGATTAGGGTTTGGAGATGTTATTTAAAGAGTATAATCCAGTGAAAGAAATTTGGAAAGAGGAAAAAAAGGGACATGAAGAATTCAGAAGATTAGAATTTGGGAGAACACAGAGAGTGGATGCACCTGCGCCATTGCAAACGATTTTGAGCCATGTCATTCAGGGTCTCTAACCATCGGTTGCTATCATCTCGCGGTCCCCAACCAGGTAGTCTACACCTACCAACATGACTCAGTTCACTTGTCAGTGACTTCATGGACTTGTGCCATGTTTTGGTTTGGCCGCCCCTAGCTTTCTTCCAACCTACTCCTATACCACTGAACATAGCACGTCGAGGCAGTCGGTCGTTGGGCATACGTAACACGTGTCCCAGCCATCTCAATTGATGAAGTTTCACTACTTCATCAGACATAGTACTCGTAGCAGGTGACTTTAATGACCAGATAGGTAGTTTAAACCAAACAGAAAGGCATTTAGGTGGGTATTTTAGTATTCCGACACAGCGAACAGATAATGGTGATCGTCTGCTGCAGCTGTGCTCAGACAATCGTTTATTTTTAGCAAACACAAATTTTAAGCATAAGGAGAGACATCGTCTAACATGGCGACCCCCTACACCAAACCAACGATGGACTCAAATAGACCATATTGCCATCAGTCATCGTTGGAGAGGGTCGGTAGAAGATTGTCGCTCATTCTGGAGTACCTGCTTGGACTCCGACCATGCCCTAATACGGGCACGCATCTGCTTGCGCCTCACTGGACGCAAAAAAGCCACATTAAAAAGACCCATTAGAACTGAGTTGAGTAACGAGAAAACCAAAAGTAGGTTCCAGGAACAACTGAGGTCACACTTAGGTAGTTGTGAAGACGAGGCTGACCCAGATGTTGCTTGGAAGGGCATACAAGCAGCTGTGGAAACAGCAGTGACATCTATTAGTGACTTAAACCACAGAGTTACAAGGAACCAGTGGATTTCTTCAAGGTCTGTCACACTGATGGATTCTCGCAAACTCGTCCCATCAGGTTCTGAACATGATGAAGAGCGTAAACAAATCAGATCTAGGTTAAGAAAAAGTCTAAGGAACGACCGTGAGCAGTGGTGGGCAACGAAAGCAAAAGAGATGGAAAAGGCGGCGACTATAGGGAACACAAGACAGCTTTACAGACTAATAAAAGAAACTGGAATTAATAAGTCAAGTGTAAGTGAGATTATTTCGGAAAAAGATGATACTCTCATCTGCTCCCAGTCCAGACGTTTAGAACGATGGGCGGAACATTTTAGAGAACAGTTCAGCTGGCCTTCAGCTACTCTACAACTACCCTCCATTCCCAGACAAAGTGAATGGAACATTGAAGTAGGTCCCCCAACTCTTGCTGAAGTTGAGAAGGCTATAGTTAATCTGAAACGAGGAAGGGCAGCTGGTCCAGATGGATTGGCTCCAGAGGTCTTTAAGGATGGTGGTCCAATTTTAGCGATTAGGTTGACTAATATTTTAGCTAAGATCTGGGAATTAGACGTTATCCCATCTGACTGGTCGCAATCACTTATCGTCCCAATATATAAGAAAGGGTCAAAATCATCCTGTGACAACCACAGAGGGATTAGTTTAACAAATATAGTATCTAAAATACTGGCCTCGATAATTATCAGACGCCTAACTAAGACTCGTGAACTACAAACACGAGAGAACCAAGCTGGCTTTAGACCTGGTCGTGGCTGCATCGACCACATATTCACCATTCGTCAGGTTCTAGAACACAGGCATACTTATCGGCGTCCGACGATGGTGGTCTTTCTTGACTTAAAAGCAGCATTTGACTCTGTAGACCGCGAGACTCTGTGGCAGTGTCTGTCATTGAAAGGCGTACCTCAGAAGTACATAAACCTTGTGAAGGCTCTTTACTCGAACACTACTAGTCGAGTCAGGGCTTATGGCGAACTGTCATCTACTTTTGCAACCTCAAGTGGTGTCCGTCAAGGCTGTCCACTTTCCCCATTTTTGTTTAACTTCATCATAGACCTATTGATGGAAATAACACTCTCGTCGACTGAATTCTCGGGTATTGATCTCCTTCCAGGAGGTCCACTTATCGACTTAGAATACGCAGATGACATAGTCCTGTTTGGTGAAGACGCTGACAAAATGCAGAGTCTTCTGGTAGCACTAAGCAACAATGCCAGAATGTTTGGAATGCGCTTCTCTCCCTCTAAATGCAAGTTGTTGCTTCAGGACTGGTCTGCGTCAACACCTGAACTAAGGATAGGGAGTGAAGTAGTCGAACGCGTTGACAACTTCACTTATCTTGGAAGTCTGATCAGCCCTAATGGGTTGGTGTCTGACGAAATCTCAGCACGGATTCGAAAAGCTCGTTTGGCTTTTGCCAACTTACGTCACCTTTGGCGCAGGCGAGATATCCGTCTATCAATAAAAGGACGAGTATACTGCGCGGCAGTCCGTTCTGTTTTAATTTACGGCAGCGAAACATGGCCATTAAGAGTAGAAGACACTCGTAAGCTACTAGTATTTGACCACAGATGCCTTAGAAATATTGCTGGCATCTGCTGGGATCACCGGGTAAGTAATAGTGAGGTTAGACGCAGGGTATTAGGGAATGATGGTAAATCAGTTGATGAGGTTATGAATCTTCATCGACTGAGATGGTTGGGCCACGTGTCGTGTATGCCTGAACACCGATTACCACGACGTGCAATGCTAACCGGTATTGGAGATGGTTGGAAGAAAGTTAGGGGCGGCCAAACCAAAACGTGGCATCAGTGCTTGAAGTCACTAACTTCTAGTCTGAGCCATGTTGGTAGATGCAGACTACTTGGTTGGGGTCCGCGTGACTTTCGTAACCAATGGTTGGAGACTCTTGGTGACATGGCTCAGAATCGATCACAATGGCGTCGGTGTATACACTCCCTGTCTTCCCTTAAACTAAGAGATTAAATCACTTCATATCTTTCTTTCTACGAACCAATTCTTTCTTCTTGTACTATATCTCTACATGCAATCTTCCTCTTATTTATTACCACCTTTGACCTAACCACTGCTATGAATCCGGTGTTCATCTTGTTGTGCTGATGCGGTATGGCAACCTGGACTGATGCACATATGTGCCTGGTCCTACGTTGTAGCTGACTGACTGACTGGAGTACACAACTTCTCAAAGTTTGGATCCCACTTTACCAAAATGGAAGCCTAAGCACGAGGGTTAGGTAAATCTCTATTAATGATAGAATTTAAATTAAACTTGATAAACCACGGTAGATACTAGTCAAGAACAGATATCAACATAGATTCATCGATAACAATTTTAAGCCAAAGGAACGACGTGAAGGAATGTCTATGGAACAAAGAAAAACCCTCTTTTCGAACATTTAGATTGAAGCAGAAATTCTGAAAATATTTTTGAGATCTCTCAGAAAAACATTTTGTTCGGCAGGAATTCGAATTTTATTCTCTAGTTGGCCTTTGATCCGTAGTTGTGTGAAAAATAAGCCGCCGCTTTAGGGCAAATTAATCTGTATTTATCGGTTAACTTGCCCGTTTGAAGCAAGTTATAATGGCTGAACAAACAGAGCTCTTTTGAAGCGTATCTCCAGATATTACACTGTCGGGCTATCTAAAGGAACACTTATTTAATCCTGGTTCCTCTGTCCCACCAGAATCCTCCTTCAAAATCATTCATACAGTCAGAATAATAGGCTCGAAAAAAATACAAATGAAAAACCAACGTACAGCGAAAGCTATAGCTACTCACCAATTTAACCCTAAGATTTGTGTACGAAAACAACATATGCAGTCCCTCATTCTATCGTGCTCTTAAAATTTCTTTCTATCTTCCATAAACTATCATTTTTTACACTCCTCTTCAGAGATTTCTCACAACTATTATGACAACTTTCAATTAGTTTGTTTCTAATATTTATTAAATGTACAATTATCTTTACCTTAACGTTTTTCATTAGCTGTTGGATTATTTATTAACTTCGTTCCGATACCCGATTTTCGTAGGAAATTTATGTCGATAAGAGACTTCAATTCCTTCTTATTTATTCGATATCATTTCCATAGACCGTCATTTTTAGCAAACATTAATTATAAATACGACTGTACAGTTTCGGTAAACGAAATCGTCGAAAAGTAAATGTCCTTTGCTGAATTATCTTTGTTCTCGTACAACACGATTTTCCGAACCTGTCACGTGAGTGAATGATCAGTTTGGCCACATCAGTCACTACAGTAAATGTATCACATCTAATAGATCTATCATGAGACTAATTTTACCAAACTAAGATCGCAAGTCAACATCGACGAAGAGAAAATTTACCTACGCAGATACGAAATGAATTCTTTATTCAAAATGACTTATGCGAACGAAATACTGTTTTGCATACATTTTACCTTTGGAATTCGAAAACATATCCACTTGTCTGACTGGCTTTAAGTCAAGTTAACTAGAAATGGCATTTTTTATAATGGTGCCTCTAACTCGGTGTTTCAGACTAGGGATCATTTTATGCTGCTAGTCCGATTGGTAATCCCTTTCTAGGTTTTCATTAGTCAGTCAGCTACAATGTAGGGCCAGGCACATTCATTGTCGAAACGATGGAACCTCTTACTACCATTCATTTTACATTACACTAGATTTTATATACCAACAATCTTTAATTTTATGTTGAGATTTCTTAGAAATATTCAGCTACAAGAGAGAAAACCTAACATACCATTATTACAGTAGCTAAATGAGCGCCAATCAGAGCATAACAGCCGCCACTAGCTCCACACATCAGGGAGAACGAGTCAGTAACAGAACTAGCTAGAGAACCTATTGTAAGCATTAACATACACAGGACAGAATGGAATAAATAACCATTAACTTTTATTAAAACATCAAAAAACAAAAAAAGTTGGTTAGCAAATATATATATATATATATATATATATTTCAATATGAAGAGCAGTATGATCTGATAAGTATTAAGCTTTGAACCATGATGAACCCGTTGACGGGACATTTGCTTTTTCTGTTTTTGACACATGATCCTAAGGAAATTTACTACATATTCTACCAGCTCCATAAGGTACAATCATTTAAAAGTATGATTATCAAGCCACTTTGTAGAAATATGCGTCAATTTACTAATTAGGTGTTTAGATTTTCATGAACTGATTCTAAAGTATTGGTGAACATAACTGCATATATTTGTATGGTCGCACTTCCTTATTTTTTATTACCTCAACAAAATAAAAAATTAAAACCCATTTGGTCGAATATTTCCTATCACAAAACATCCCACTTGATAAACAATTTGATTGATACAATTATTATAACGCACTAACACAACATACCTTTTAGTATTTAATATGATGCTAGTTAGCTTAGAAACCACTTTGAGAAGTCATTGTTATTTGATCAGTAATCGAAACTAAAACAATGATCAGTCAACTTATTCTTATCATAAGCCATCCGTAATTTTAGTAGCTCGTAAATAACGTTTGTGAATGCAGTGCCAGATACTGAACATTCTTATCACTGATTCATCAGCTCCGTACAGGTTGAACAAAAACCACGCTAACTTGCATAAGAATGAACACAAAACTACATTTAAACAGTTGGATGCTCCCAACAATTAACACATTTTATGATGAAAACAATCACTAACAATAAAAGTAGACGACATACTTTCAGACATAAGGTTGTAGTGCATTCAACAAGTTTTGAGTAGATATGAATTCCTAGCCGATTACTGTATAACTTAAATTTTGATGAAAATAAGGTCATAAGCGTTTAAAAAACATTTTACAAATACGTATCCTATTACAAATAACAATGCAAAATATTACCTGAAATAACACCTAACAAATAAACTAATCCAACTCGCCAGAATTTATGAACCAATTCAAGTAGAAGACCAAGTACAATTTGCACTAAACAATTAAAAACTAGGTGCTTATAACCATAATGAATAAACATATAGGTTAAAAATCTCCATAGTTCGTGACGTTTAGTTGGGTTATAAATAAGTATACTATCAATAGGAAAACCAGATGAAGCTTTAAAATCATTGGAGTCAGATTTGTTTCTATAAGTAACAACGTAGTATATAAAAACTGCAATCTGAAACAACAAAAAACATCAAAAGTATCAGCGATCACTAACAGGTTAAATGTGAACTTTAAAAATACAAGGTTATTATTATTATACCGTCTAAAATTTACAACTGATGTCGGATAGACTAATCATGAGAAAAAAAACGAGACTCAAACAAAAACAGGTTTCCCCCGAAGAGGTGTAAACCAAATGCTCAGCAATAAGAAAGGTCATAGTCATTTGCGCTTATAAAGTAGACGACGAAGAGCTACATAATACGGTGAACCTATCGCACAAACAAATTTAACACGCCAATTAGTAGATCAAAACGATATTATTTCTAAATTACAGGTTAATATTAACCAACATCGAAACTTTATACTAAGCTATAAGACGTATGCTTAGATTATTCCGAAAAGATTACATACTCTGAGTCACTGGCCTATGAGAGGTACGTTACTTACTTACGCCTGTTACTCTTCGTGAAAGAGCATAGGCCGCTCACCAGCATTCTCCATCTAACCCTGTCCTGGGCAATACTTTCCAGCTCCTCCCAGTCGTTATTCATCTTCTTCATATACGATTCTATTTCCTGACGTAATGTGTTCTTTAGCCTTCCACTTTTTCGCTTCCCTTCAGGATTCCAAGTTAGGGATTACCTCGTGATGCAGTTTGATGATTTGCGTAATGTATGTCCTGTCCACTTCCATCGTCTTTTTCTAATTTCCTCTTCAGCCGGAAGCTGGTTTGTTCTCTCCCAGAGAAGGCTGTTACTGATGGTATCCGGCCAATGGATGTTGAGTATCTTACGTAGACAACCATTTATAAATACTTGTACTTTCTTGATTGTGGTTGTTGTAGTTCTCCAAGTTTCAGCTCCATGCAGTAGAACTGCCTTGACATTCGTATTGAAGATTCTGACTTTGATATTGGTTGAAAGCTGTTTTGAGTTCCATATGTTCTTCAATTGTAGGAATGCAGCCCTTGCTTTGCCAATCCTTGCCTTTACGTCTGCATCTGAACCTCATTGTTCATCGATGATGCTTCCCAGGTATGTGAGGGATTCTACATCCTGAGTTTTGCCATCAAGTGTGACTGGATTGCTGTTCTCCGAGTTGAATTTGAGGACCTTGGTTTTCCCCTTGTGTATGTTGAGGCCTACTGATGCAGAGACTGCTGCTACACTGGCTGTCTTTACCTGCATCTGTTCTTGTGTGTGCGATAGGAGGGCTAGGTCATCTGCGAAGTCCAAATCGTCTAATTGGTTCTGAGCTGCCCATTGTATGCCGTGTTTTCCCTCAGATGTCAAGGTCTTCATAATCCAGTCGACCACCAGAAGAAAGAGGAAGGGATCGAGTAGACAGCCTTGTCTGACTCCGGTCCTTACTTGAAATGCATCTGTTAGCTATCCTCCATGTACTACTTCGCACTGTAGTCCGTTGTATGAGTTCCGAGTAATGTTGACAATCCTTTCAGGAACTTCATAGTGTCGAAGTTCCCATAATGTTCTCCCATCTACACCGTCAAACGCCTTTTCATAATCAATGAAGTTGATGTACAGTGACGAGTTCCACTCACCTGATTGTTCGACGATAATCCATAGTGCCGCAATTTGGTCCGTGCACAACCGATCCTTAAGGAACCCAACCTATTAATCTCGAAGTTGGGCGTCTACTGCATCTTTCATCCGGTTTAGCAACACTGCTGAATACTCTTCCTGGTACTGACAGTAGTGTGACGCCCCTGTAGCTCTCACATCTGCTCAGGTATCCTCTCTTTGGAATCTTGATGAGGTGTTCTTTCCAGTCCATCGGCACTTGTTCTTCCTCCCAAATCTTCTTAAATAGAAAGTGAAGCATGTTTGCAGTTATTCTACGTCTGACTTTAGTGCTTCAGCTGATATATTTTTAGGTCCTACTGCTTTCCCATTCTTGATTTGTTTGGTAGCCATCGATGATAGGAACATTGGGTGAAATCATTTCTGGTAAGTTAGTGAACAATATAATCAACTATACCAAAAAAAGAAAAATGATGAAGAGGTACTTGAAAAATACCGGGAGAATGTAGATCTGTGTACAAAATTAAATTTAAAAGCACCTGGATAATAAGAAAATCCACCAGTAACTAAATTGAAACAAATAAAGGTAATAGATTAACGTATAGAGAGCATGTGATTGGCTAATGATGTCTATAAATACATACGAAAAATTTTAATCTGCAACCATAACGGAGTTTTGGGATATATTACTGATGTTTACTAATCAGTATGCATTGAAAAGCTGTAGCTTATCGTTATAATAATTAAATTCCTATGCACTACTAAAAAATACAGCTCAAACAAAGTATCCAATACAGAAGTATAAAATTACGAACAACTGTTGACCCCTCATACATAGTGAGAAAGACAATATACAGTGAACAAAAATATAACACTTCTCATTTGGCTTTCAAAATTACAACTTCGTGTTTAGATCTGATTCAAATTATAGAGATCCACTTCACTGTTTAATGTTGCTTCCATGTGACTGTTTTCAAAAACTAATTCGTTCTCATCAGATTAGTATTTTAGACCAGAATAGTGCCGATAGACACTTCTTAGTGAACAACAAAATAATTTACAGATCCACAAACAAAAACCAAATCATGTAAAACAAAGTGTTGTCAGTCAATCAGGAAATGACTTACCTCAGCAATAGTTATTAAAGGGATAAATATAGGAGGAGGGCGACAGTCATACGCCTGTACATAATTATTAATATCTGCTTCTTTTGAACTACCGATATCGATGGTGTCATAGCCAGAATCAATGGCAACAGCTCGTTGATGTTCGCGTCCACAATCTGGCGCTATAGCTAAAACTACACGATTGAGTATCCGTTTGTGAATACGCAGCCTTCGAATAATTTTTTCATCTTCAGACAAAACCTACTCAAGTGTTTTTTTAAAGACAGAAATTAAAAAGTCAAAATCATAACGGCGAAATTCGGCACACAAAAAGACTCAAAATACAAATAAAACACTTGTTTCCTGATTAATTCACTTGATGCGATTGTTTAACACTACCCTACAGCTAGCTCCCTAATAAAATAACTAGGGTTCACGAGCAATGCTTACGAAAAATATCTAGACAGGATCAAATGTATCCTATCTGTATTAGTCTAGATTGACGCATGATCCACGAAATCACACAGTATAAAATGGAGCAAACAAGAAGACAGGAATATATATGACGATCACCTAGTGACATTCGATACGTTGACCAAAATACTATGCTATACAAAGAAACTCAGATTTTGAGCCACATTTATTGTAGTTTACACAATACACAAGCGTCATGAAATAAGATTTTAATCATACAGTCAAGAAAGTCGAACCAACAACCCGATAGTGTTACTTAACAGTCAAACGTCAACACAGTTTCAAGTGTTGGGTTATTTAAATAACTAGGAGGAGAACAGACGAAGTCCTCTTCCATCAGTAGCTCTCAGCATCGACAATATTACAAGTTTACGCTTCGAAACAGACCTAGTCGGACATTCCACATGTTTAGAAAATTCATACTCTATTAGTGAAAACTTCATTTTCAGTACAAGAGCAATATGGGGAGCATAATAAAGCATTATATGATTGCATTCCATATAAGCATTCCGAAAATTCCTAGTATGAAATTTCACAAATTCCACCCACCAGGAACAGGTCAGTTTCATCCATCAAAAGTAAACTACGATTTTATTACATTCCCACAACAAATACCAAAGCTCGAAGGTGGAAAACACGCTGACTTGCATGTGTCGAAATAACAGATTGGAATCTATGCGTCAACCTGCTTCGTAATCTGGGAACAACCGTGATAATGTATACAAAGATAACCGAGTGATTTCGCCATAGAGGAACATGATCTCAAGTCCAACCGCATCCATACACAACACGAATTAGGACACCACTCATACACAGTAGAGGATAATTAAAAATCATATCACTAAACAATCACACCATCAGTTAAACTGATAAATACAAGTAGCACAAACGAGATGTCGACCGTGTCAACCAGACTTATCGTTCTAAGCTTGTAGTTTGTCACATACACCTTTTTTCTATTACTGTGCATCACATCAGATCACGCATTGACAACATACAAATTTGTTACACTATGTCTTGAAAATACTTACTTGTTTCAGGAACTCATCATACGTAATGAACTGGTTTTTATCTCTGTCTGCTGAATCCACAATATTGTGGACTTTTGATTCTGACAAGTGAGACTTCCCGAGAAATTGTTTAAGATCCGATGAGGGGATACCAGTTTTTATATCATACTAATTACTTACCAAAACAGTTTAACTTGGTTTACCTGGTCAAAAGTAGGTTTGAATTTCTACAGAACAGCCGATATGCATACAGAAATGAACATACTTCATCCAGGAAACTGCGCACACTTCTAGATCGTTCACTGGACATGCGTAGCTGGTGACTTTGTGTTGAGCGCTTCTAGCCGGAATGTTAATATCTCACTCACAAGAACAAATGTTGCCGAAAAATTAATCCAATAAATTTCTTTGAGCCAGTTTCGTTTTGGTAAAACAATTTTCCAGCCTCTTTCAGGAGTCTAGTCACTCGTTTGTAGGGATATAATGTCTAGTATTATCATTTTACTCATTTTCAACATTGACAGACAAAACACCACATTTACACTTTTCTAGTCATTTTCTGTCTCTAGTCTTTTCGTAGATGGAGTGTGTGACACATTTACGACGGTAGTTGGTAAACCTATTTTATTTAAGGATACTATCACCTTACGGATTCTAACTCCCATGGTGTTTCAGTTACGGTAGTCGCTAGACAGAACCAGTGAATTATTTGTTTCTCGTCATCATTCCTGATCATGGACATTTGCAATTTCTATCGTATTCCCTCTAAATTTAAGGGTTGAAGCAAATTGATGGTGCTAAAGATGCCACAGGTATTCAGAGCTTGACAACGCCTTAACTAGTAACACCATTACAATCGAAATGCTCTAACTTAATCAAATCGAAGGTCAATAATGAAGAGGTTCATAGTCCTCTTTGGAATGCCGTCGATATATCGAGAAGCGTTAATTCTAAGCTGGCTAGTGGTTGTAAGAGATGCGTAGCAGGGCATACCCACTTGTGATCTGGTGTGGATGTGTGACCGGGAGCCTTCAAATAGATCTGTACACTAAAGCCAGAATCAAGTCCCGAGGACCTACGGAACTATTTATTTCGTCGATTTACTTGCCGCTACAACACGAACAAATGTACAGTAGCATCTAGAATGGAACCATCAGGAAAACAAAACAGAAATGGTATCACTACTGTTCACTGTGGTCATTCCGAATTTGCCAAAGTCGTTAGGGAAGAACTTTCGATTGGTCCAGTCCTGTTGAAGTACTTTAGGAAAGGCAAGACAATTTTTAAAACCGTCCGTATGTATCAGGTTTAGGAGTTCTACAGTAACAGGTGTAGTCCTGTGATTGGGAATACTAATTATTCATTTGTGATGTCTACTATGAGTAATCCAACAACCTTTCCGATGGATACCGATTAATACTCACTGGTTTCAGTTTCAGGCAGAGAATTTGAGGACCGATCCCGGGAAATACATTTTCAAGTTGTTGATGAGAACATAATGTTTGAACTGTTGGAGTCTGTTTGGTCATAACGGAGTTTGATTTGTGGAATCTTTTCATCTGATTTGTTTAGGCTTTCGATTTGTGTCCTGGTTTATGCTTATCGCGGTTGAAACAAAACAAGAAGTTGTCAGAAGTACTATGGGTCTCAGTTAAAAAAATTCTGTTCAGACTTTGGAAAAGCCGTTGTTTGACAGGCAGTTGTAACTCATGACAAGTGGAAACAAGCTACGAAACTTCTGTGACATCGCTGGTCTTTCCTGACCCAACACGTTAAATAATAGATTACAGGATCAAATTTCAATTTTAAATATTGGTTATTAACAAAATAATCTAACTAGTTCCTAATCTTCTTAATCATCTGTGACTATTTTTCTGCTCTGGTTTGCTTTGGGGCACTTGGGACTATCCCTTTATCCGTTTCGACCCTCCAGACAACAATATTACACTAAAAGAGTGAACGATCATATTTCGTATACAGGAGGCTCCACTAGTGCTGTGCAGAACAATAAATCCTACCTGTCACAGTTGTTTATGTTCAAGCTGGTCGCGTAGGTTAACAGTGATTTGGGAGATAATTAATATTGACCTGTTGTATCTTTGAAACTAAGGAGGACGATACCCAAATGGTAAGAGATGATGCTGGAGACCTCTGCTCACTCCGAGGCAACCTGTTCACGCATAGAAACACACTACTGCCGTTGAATGTAGAATATGAACTGAACTCTGTACATTTTTTGGAGATTATATTTAAACAGTTTCTCACTAGACTAACGTAGATGGATTAAGATTATCACAAGTATAGTGGACGAGAAATAAAGACCTAAGTTTCCGAACAAAATGGTGTCGTCACTGGGAAAAATATAGAAGATGTGATCGTCCACTTCTCCAGCGAAGGCTGAATTTTTGATTGTCTGAGATGCAAACATGTTATAAGAAATTGTGAAAATAAATTGGATCAGTCGGTGACTTACCTTCTATTACCATAGGACTTAGGCATGGCAGGTGAAGACAGTGTAGACCACACAAACGAGGTTACTCACATACGTGACCAAAAGAAACTAGCGGTTATACTATACTTCGATATTATGAAATCCTTTGACAAAGTACGCCATAATCTCCTAATCAACAGACTCCAGTCAGTTGAAATTACAAAATCCCAGTTGCGATGGATCAAACCTTTTCTCACAAACAGATACCAAATAACCAAGACTAACTACAACATCTACACCTTGACCAATAACCAGTGATGTTGTGAAGGGTAGTGTCTTGGGTCCATTGCTCTTTACAATCTACACCAACAATATATGCAAGTGCTTTAGCACACGTTAAAACCAACCTCTACGTTGATGACTTAAAAGTCATCTATAAAACTGACATTTGCGACATACGTGGTACTATGCAAACAATCCAACATGATCTCAAAATGGTGAACAACTGGTGCAAAAGCTGAAGGTAAGAGCTCAACATAGTGAAATGCGGCTAGCTGTGTATTGTAGACACATCTCTTAAAATAAGACTAGCACTTAACCATAACCCACTGCCTAGACTGACATCAGTAACTGACCTAGGGATACATTACTCACACATTCCTAACTTCCTAAATATACCTCAACTAAAGCATCTAAAATGCGAAAATTGCTTGGCATCGTTCTTCGAAATTTCTTTCAAAATGAATCTAAAATCATTCTTTATAAAGTCTGTATGAGGCCTATCGTTGAAAACTGTTTGTTCTTACTTTCCAACATACGCCTATCCGATATACTTAAGGTGGAAAGTATACAACGAAACCTCACTCGCAAAATACTTAAGAACGACTCACTCATTGACTACAGTTTCCGATGCCATATCTTGGGACTAGAACCCTTTTGGAAGTGAAGGATTAGGTTTAATTTGACTCTATTTCAAACTCCTCAAAAGACTTACTTATTCCATATGTAATATAGTTTTTGTCCAAGACTCACATGAATAAGACCTTCGAGACAAGGTATCCACGGTCAAAGTTGAGAAATACAGATCAAAAACTCGGGAAAACTTCTTCCTCACAAAGTGTGCATTATTATGGAACAGTCTTCCCTCTGAAATACGCATAGGAGATGAATTACATACGTTTGTAAGACTTATTGATCAAGCCCACACTTGCACAGATCTGGCATAAACGAACACATTTGCGTCCCACTCCGACATTATAGGCTCTCTACATGTACAAACCGGATTGCCTTATTTTCCTACTTTATAGTTGTATTAGATACTTTTTCATCCTAATTTTTTTACTTGAAGTAGACAGGTAACTCACTGGACCCATAAACTTTCGGTCGCTAAGAGACGATCACTACTACGCTAAAAAGCCAAAAGAATCGCATAATCGCCTGCCTATTATCAAATGTTTTGCGTCTATGGAGCCTATTATCTATCAACCGGTTAGGATAGAACAAAATAACATCAGCAACAGGTTGATGTGAGTTCCTTCTTGTCTATTCTTTATCAGCTGTTTGCTCTCCAGTACACTATGTCGAATTGCCATTAGTATTATTTCACCACTCGTTACCTTATCTGTAACTCATTTATTTCTATACTTTCCCGCCTACTTTGGCAAACAACAATCCTACAATATACCCTTCTTATAGCCTATACTCTGATTCGTAACCTATACTTTAATTCATAGTCCATTAAAGCATTGAATCGATACCTTACCCACAGTTCATAATTTGTAACTGCCTGATAAGCTTGTAAAATGGTACTTATAGAAGTACTTTTTTCCAACAGGATGTGAAACACAGAGCATTGTGTGAGGTACTATATATATCCAAGAAATAAGCATAAATGAGTTTAACATCACAAAAAGAGGTAGGGTGGAGTTACTGACCGGCAAGCATTGATGGTGAGGGCGAAGACTACAATCCACCCGTGTTTGTGGGGCAGAACATTTTGTTTATATCAGGCTCCTTATGTTTGAGAACAAGTCAATCTGTTTGTGATATTGAGGTTGTTCTCCTACTATCACCATTCAGACTCATGTTTCCAATTTTATGCTGGATTAGCTATTCTACCAACACAACCTATAACATGCTAACTCGGACTTTTACACTAGGAGTTTATAACAACCATAAACTTAAAATTTTGCATCGCATAAATACTTAACACGACCAAAATCCTAACACAATTATGCCGAGATTGGATCTGATATGTAACGTGGACGTGATGCCACTTTGGAAAATATTTTGAAGGCTACTCAGTATATCTGAACGAATGAAATGATATTCACTTCTAAAAATTGTATTTATTTAACAACCCTGCTTGGAGAAATATGTTATATTATTATATTGCATACGTTACAAAAAGAACTAAATATTAAACCACTGATGTAGTAGAGTTTGACGGTAAAATAAGAGTCCATGCAGTAATAGATCGGAATGGTAAGACACAAGACTAAATTTGTTGCAAAGAATGATCGTCAGATATCGATTTATGCAGGTCATATTGTTATGTTTACTGCCTGATTAACGCAGGACACGATATACAGCTAAGGGCACTGAAACGCATTGGACCCGCATAGTCGCAAATCGGAAGACAGAAGGAGCAGGAGAATAGATTGTTAGGTAAGAATAAAATTCTAAGAACAAACAGGTGTATTTATTGTGATTAGCAATAGTTACACCATCATTATAAATCAGCCAATCCACAAACAGACGAACTGTACAACCGTCCAGCAGCAGAAAAACACAATAGGAATTTAAAACGCTAAATTTGATAAAGATTGGCTGAAAAAACTTGGTTTTCTTCGGAAAGCTGAAGGCTACGCATTGCTTCT